TGAGAGACTAAATATAATCAACTGTCGGCAACTGTTTCTAGAATTTATTGTCGATATGCAAGCAAAAATAGAAGCAGAAAGACAGAAAAGTTAGAAGAGCAGAGCAAGAAGGCAGTAAGTTATATATTCGCCTAAATCAGAAAAATTTAAGTAAAAACATTTATGTAGTAATAATAGACCGGACATCAGCAATAAAATGGTCACGTCTTACTTATGTCCTATAGGATGTATTTCGGATTTGTATCATTTAGTTTTAGTAACATCATCAAACGCTCAAAATGCATTCGTTTCCTAAATTAAAAAAAATATTTTTAATGAAAATATGTCCGATTGTGCAACAAGGTATTGTAAGTCCCGATATGTAGCAAAAAATGAATGTGATTTCGGTTTATTATCGCATGTATAATGTATATTTACCCCATAATTTTTAATTTTTATTATTTCTTGCAGATTGTTCTAGAACATTTATCATTATTGTAATAAGCACCCTCCAGTAACGTCACCAAATGAGTTAGTGATTAACAACGTTTATCGATAGGTGCTATCGATAAAAATACTATACGGGATTCAGATTTAATCATCTACAATATTTAAGAAAGTGAAACATTAAACGATACTGTACCCATACCAATAAAGAAATCGGGTGGGAAAACGTCTAAGTCAGCCAGTACAACCAGTCAACAAGATAGCATTCTTTTTAAAATTTTAATATAATTCTACAAAACCAGGAGAATTGCAGATGCGTTGCTGGCCTTTTAAAAAGGAGTAAGCTCGTTTATTGAAGGTCCCTAAGACGTATCGGTCCATAAAAATGGCTTATGGTAAACGATTCCTAAGAAAACTTCTTATAAATGGCACGGTAGTGGACCGCCATGCATCCAAATGATGTTGATGGTAATTGGTAACGTAAGTTTTGTCGCTATGTGTGTTGGTGAAATTTGGTGGCTGGAATGAATCCGAACAATCCTCAGAGCACTCTCCGTGGTAAATACGATAGAAAATGTAAAGGGATGCAACATCCCTACGCAGTGAATCGAGCCAAACAGAACTCAAGATCCCGGAAGCCGTTGAGAACTCAGTCATCGACGATTTGATCCGCTCTGCTCTCTATGCGTTCAAGTGAAAGGAGCGCGCACTGGGGAGCCCCGGCCCAGAGATGAGAACAGTATTCCATGTGAGACCGAACCTACGCTTGTAAAGTTGCAAACGATATGCAGGCATGAAATACTGTCCCACTCTACTGAGTACGCCAAGCTTTTTAGAAGACAATTTAGCTTTCTCTTCCAAGTGACCATGCTACTGCAGGTCATTCGATATATCAACGCAGAAGTTTCCGCTACTGGCTGCGGCAACAAGGAAAGTGCTCTGAAATTGAGGAGATACGACAAAGGTGTTCTTTTCAGCGGTAAACGCACAAACTTGTGGATTTGTATAATAATTTATCGTGTAACGACTTTTAAGTTCAGGGCTTTCCTAAAATATGTTAGATTGAAAGTGTAGTTTTGTAAAAGAAACTAATTTAAAAACATGGAGGCACTCACATATTGGATTTGATGTTTCGCGATGTGCCTTTGACACCGTCCGACCAATCATATTTTTCTTATATTAATTATTTATTTAATGATATTATTATAGCGTCTAATGGACCTAGTGACATCATCCAAGATGCCACCAATGTGAATGCTGTTTGAATTAATTCTTAGTTATTGGAAATTAAATATTTATTTCATGACATATCATTTCATTCATGACGTTATTCATGACGAGAGTAATTGTGATTTCTTATATTTACGCGAACACTACATATTTAAATAAAACTAATTTTACGGATTTTATCGCGTATATTAACTTATTTTAGATACCTTACTTTAATAGAGAAGATGGCTGGGTGCTACCATCTGCTTGGCATCCCATAATTAATAAAATTAAATCCCAACCCAAGCATACAACTGCAAGACTTCATGATACTGTAAGTTCATACTGCATAGACCGGAACAAAAATTAATAATTTTTAATCTGGAGGTAGCCGTGGTTAGCTATGACATTGGGACGTCATACACCACAGTCTCCCCCGTGACCATGGGTGCTGTAAAGTGCTTGAAACGTCGTGAATATAATAAGTCATGTGTTCTTAATTTAAAAAAAAAATTAATAAAATATACATACATCATGACTAAATATTTGAAAAAAAAATAACCTAGCGAAGCGGGTTTTCACAGCTGGTAATGGCTTTGGCCACCCAATTTTGTTAAGGGTATCGAAAAATTGTATAAAAAATTACAAATTCAACGGCATTCTTATTTTTTTTCTACCTTTAAAAATGACTGAAATATTGATTAGTAAAGTGGTGTTTTACGGTAAGGGCGACCGCTTTGCTCCGCATCACGATGTGACGTCACATACCGACACGTCGAAGCCACCAGTAGTCTTTATTGTTACATTTTTCTTATTCTCTCCATATTTATTACTCCATATTTTTCTTGTCATGTTATTTATTTATCAGTAACCTTTATTTTCTTTTAGCAACTTTTAGCAAATATTGTATGACACGCCTGGCGTTTATTTGACATCAAACATCAGTTATAAACGGAAGGATACTTGTTTTTAGTGGGTAACTATGTATTTTTCTACGTGTTTTCTTTGTAATTAAGAGTAGGTGACATTTTTTGTGCAGAGATTACAAACATTTCGTACTATTTTTTGTTTTATAAAAAATCATTTATATAAGTAGGTACAGCTAAATCACCCTGGAAAACCTTTGTTTTTATTAAATTAAATTTTCACCTAATAATAACATTTGTAAATATCAAACAATCAAGAACCTTAATTTGGAAAAAAAAATAAGGTTTATGATTCATTAATATTTACAAATGTTAAATATTATTTAATGTTATACAAATGTAAAAGTAAAGTCAATCTGAAAACGTCTAATTAGTAAGAATAGCAAAACAAGTGTTTTCAAAAGGAAGAAAACACCGGCGCTATACGGCGGCGGATTGACAAAAGACTATTTATTAACGAACTTTTTTTATGCATCGGTTTCGAACTGTTTTAATCAAAAATAAACCTTATACCATATCACAAGAGCACATGGTACCTCGTAGGTCTATTCGGTCATATGATAGTAATAAGACGGCAGTTCAACCATTTTAAACAATAAGACAAACGCATTGTTTTTTTTTAACAGAAGACTTGTTTTCCAGAAATTTATTTACAACTTGAGTTTGTGAGCAATCGCAATGAGTGCTATTATTTGTTACTTATTAGACTATTTTTCCACAACATGATTGAAAACCCACAAAGTAAAAAGAGTACCATGTACAAGTTAAAAAAAGGTTGTCAACCCCTAAAAATTTCAAATTTTCAAAATATCCAGACACGAAACTTCATATGATTATTCCTAATTAAATTTAAACATATAAGTTATGTATATTTCTTCAATCACCTTTTAATTTCCTTTATTATGATACCCTACTCGTCAGGTATACCTCAAAACTTGAAAATTGATTAATCCCAGCCGCCAAATTTCACGAACGCACATCGCGGCAGAACTCCCGATACCATCCACACCATCTGGATGATTGGCGGTCCACCACTGTGCGATTTAGAAGATGTTTTCTTCCTCGCACAACTTCCTTGTGGAATAGTTTACCACCAGCGATTTTTCCGGACCGATACGACTTAGGGACCTTCAAGAAAAGAGCCTACTCCTTTTTAAAAGGCCGGCAACGCATCTGCAATTCCCCTGGTGTTGCGGTTGTTCATGGGCGGCGGTAGTCACTTACCATCAGGTGAGCCGCATGCTCGTTTGCCCCCTCTCCTATAAAAAAAAAAAAAAACAAGGCTGTACAGTGTACAACCAGTGCGTGTTGCCAGTGATGACCTATGGTACTGAGACGTGGTCCATCACTGCTGGCCGATTGAGGAAGCTCAAGGTCGCTCAGCGAGCTATGGAGAAGACTATGCTCGGAGTTTCTCTGTGTGATTCTGTGATAAACATAGAAATGAGGATATCCGCAGTACAACCAGAGTGACCGACATAGCCCAACGGATTAGTATGCTGAAGTGGCAATGGGCCGGCCATATAGCCCGAAGAACCGACAGCCGATGGGGAAAAAAGGTTCTCGAGTGGCGGCCTCGTACCAGCGGACGAAGTGTAGGGCGTCCCCTCACTATATGGATTGACGACCTGGTAAGATATGCAGGAAGTCAATGGATGCGGGTGGCTCAGGACCGTGCTTTGTGGCATTCCTTGGGCGAGGCCTATGTTCAGCAGTGGACTTGTGAAGGGCTGTAATGGTGATGAAGAGATGATGATGATGACTCGATAGATTTGGTTAATTTCTTTAATTAACGTATTTACTATTTTGCGCCAAAAATCCGTCATTTTTTTTCAAAAAGCTATCTAATAACACTTGGGTTTCTAAGACGAATAAGATGATACCTTAATTGTCGAAATCCATTCAGCTGTTTGGAAGATACGAGGTAATAAAGAAATTTACAAACATACAAGATACGCGCCAAAGAGATTTTAATATACATATATGGTTACTTAAATGTTTTTGATACGCGCGAAAAACATAACCCTTGCTTGGCAGTCGGGTAAAAATGGTCAGGTTATAAATGTAATAAATAATAACAACTGTTTGTATAAGTATACAGTCGTTTCTTATTTCTCATCAAATTAAATATCAAATTCAATTAAGAATCGACAACCGCAAGTACAAATATAGTAATAATAAATAGTATGTGTTAAATATAAAACAAATGTATGGATTAAAGGCGCAGTGACTTGGCATTGAGTTGCGGCACTGACGGCCGCGAGTTCAATTCCGCACGGAACAAGTATTTGTAGGCAATAGGGGTTTGGATGTCTGTCTTTGTACAATTTATGTTCATAAATTGCCTCCACGATACAGTAGAAGATCTTAGTGTGGGGTTAATGTTTTTTAAAAGAAAATTAAATAAATAAAAAGTAAAAAAAAATTACAAATTTCATTTCATGTTGGAATGAAAGCCATTACATGAGGTAACTTATTGGTTGAGTGTGTTTCTCGGTATAAACACTCTACGTAAAGATTTTGTCCGGGCATAAGGAACGTTCCTTCCTTTTCGGGTTCAGTTTCAGAAGGCAAAGGAGCATTCGGCTTGGGACGGAGTTCAAAATGAAATACGATCGCTGCCAGAGTAGAGCGTAAATTATGTTCGGCAAAGCGATGCACTGAAATAAAAAAAAGAACTTCTCATCATGCATTCTTATACTTCGATGAGTACGATACATTGAATGGATCTAAGTTTACGGATTTTATTCCGTTTCATTTTAATGCTTGACCCGCGTTTTACTGCACCCATGGTTAGAGGAGGGATTAATAAATTGAGATTATTGTAGTCAATACTATTCCTGATCGTGATATTGCCGAACATGATAAAGTGCACATAGAACGTTCATATTAAATAGGTTTCCGAGCATTTTACCATATTTGCGCTGATGCATATTTTTTTTTATAGGATAAGTGTGACAAACCGGCACACAGTCAACCTGATGGAAAGTGGTTGCTGCGGCCCATAGACATCTACATCTATCCTCTATTACAAATCAAAATGTAGATCCGTTGTCACCCGTGAGGACTAAGATGAAATGCCTCATTTCCAGTAAAAAGGGCCTCCGGCCACCTGCACTCATCAAGCGAAACGCAGAGGTAAACCTCTACTTCACGCTGGTTTTCTGTGAGGTCGTGGTACCACCCCGGTTCGAGCCGGCCCATCCGTGCGACAGCAAAAGCTGCCGTGTGGCTCTATCACGTATAAGAATATTACGAAGATCATAAATGATACGGTTTCGGTCAGATCTGACCAAACCTTATCAACATAGTAATTTGCAGAATGAGAATTTAGACACGTAAAGCTTATGCAAAAATTTGATTAAAAAATCAATAATAAAATCATGTGAAGTTATAGTGACTTTGCGACCAATCATCTGGATATGTTTCTTCTATGAAGGTAGCTGTCAACATCTTTACAGATCGAGTCTTTATATAGAAAGAGTATGGGATGGTATTGTTAAATAACTCACTCAATGGTGTAATAGAAAGTGACAAAGGGAAATGAAATAGGATATGTACAGCAGCATCTTCCTGATAACATCTCTAAAATAATGAAAAAAGAAACTGCAGTTACAGATTGCTTTGGATGGGAAGAGGGCCTCCTACACCGGATGTGGTCTACTTTTAGACTAAAACTATTAATGTATTATTTTGACTTAGTATGCAATATCTTGGTCCTTCACCAAACGGCAAATAACACAGAGCATTTATTTCTTTTTCATTCTCTAGTAAGAAGCGATCGGGATCAAAAATTTTGTTTCTGGGAAAAATTCGGGATCGTACTGCATGCCACTACCAATGACATATACCGGTTTTTCCGTAGGGATGGTTAGGTTTTCATTAATTTGGTAATCCTTGGATGCGATTCTATCTCGTTTAGTACGAGGCGATAGAAGGAAACAGACCAGGAGCTGGGAAGAAGCGTCTTTCTAATAAAACCTAGAAAATAAAAACTGCGGTTGGCACTCGCTCGACAAGCATGACAATTATAGAAAATATCCCTTTTATGAAACAATCTACGGGGAAGCCTATGTTCAGCAGTGAATTCATAGGCTATCAAAGTTAGTTTAGTTTGCTCAGAGACCAGCACCAAGGTGCTACAAATCTGTAATTTGGCATAGTTAGATATTAATCACGCCTAGACAACTGTGAAATAAAATCTTAAAAAAACATTTTTATTTTGGGTACTTCCCATACAAGTAAATGGAGGATGATTTTTTCCCCCGCCTATTCCATCATGCATGCAGTTTTCAATGCTGATGTACCAAGTGCTCGGCGGTGAAGGAAATCGTTACGAAACCTGCATTTCTATGTTATAATTAAATTTCAAAGGCATGTGATATCCGCCAACACGAAGTGCACAAGATGCTACATAACCCTCTCAAAAATGAGAGGAAGCATGTGTCACGCCCAACCGTGTAGTGGCGGTGTAAGAATATCAACTACAGCATATAGTCCCGTGTGACACGCACGGGACGACATGCTGTATATATATATGTATATATAAGAAGCGACAGATGGAAACTGAAACAGGAGATTGGCAGTTTATAATGGAATCCATTATAAACTGCCAGCTCATGAGGTACCTTGAGGATCACCAGCTGAATAGTGACCGCCAGTACGGTTTTCGTCGAGGTCGATCAGCTGGTGATCTTCTAGTCTATTTGACTCATAGATGGGCGGAGGCAGTAGAGTCCAAGGGGGAGGCATTGGCCGTTAGTTTGGACATAGCGAAGGCCTTCGTTCGGGTCTGGCACAAAGCGCTTCTTTCGAAGCTTCCTTCCTATGGGCTTCCCGAGAAATTGTGCAAATGGATCACCAGTTTCCTTGCTGATCGGAGTATCAAGGTCGTAGTAGACGGTGCATACTCTGATTTCAAGCCTATCAACGCTGGTGTTCCACAAGGCTGCGTGCTATCACCAACGCTGTTTCTCCTGCATATCAATGATATGTTGCTAACTGGTAGCATTCATTGCTATGCGGACGACAGCACTGGTGATGCCTTATATACCGGCCGTGCCAATATTTCTCGGGAAAACGTCGCTGAGTACCGGGACAAACTTGTGTCTGAAGTCGAGTCTTTGCTTAACAAAGTCTCGGATTGGGGCCGACTAAATCTAGTCCATTTCAATCCCCAGAAGACACAAGTTTACGCGTTTACCGCTAAAAAGAACCCCTTTGTCGTATCTCCTCAGTTTCAAGGCACTCCCCTTGCTGCCTCAGCTAGTATCGGAATCCTTGGCGTCGACATATCGAATAGTGTGCAGTTTCGTGGTCACTTGGAAGGGAAGGCCAAATTAGCCTCTAAAAAGCTTGGCGTGCTCAGCAGAGCGAGACAGTATTTCATGCCGGCACATCGCTTGCAACTTTACAAAGCCCAAGTTCGGCCCCACATGGAATACTGTTCTCATCTCTGGGCCGGGGCACCCCAGTGCCAGCTCCATCCACTTGACCGCATCCAGCGCAGAGCGGTTCGAATCGTCGACGAACGAGTTCTTTCTGATCGGCCCGATACACTGGCACTGCGTAGAGATGTGGCATCTCTTTGCGTATTTTATCGCATCTATCACGGGGAGTGCTCTGAGGAATTGTTCGGACTAATTCCAGCCGCTCAATTTCACTATCGCACATCGCGACAAAACTCGCGTTACCATCCATACCATCTGGATGATTGGCGGTCCACCACTGTGCGATTTAGAAGAAGTTTTCTCCCTCGCACAACTTCTTTGTGGAATCAATTACCACCAGCGAATTTTCCGGACCGATACGACTTAGGAACCTTCAAGAAAAGAGCTTACACCTTTCTAAAAGGCCGGCAACGCATCTGCAATTCCCCTGGTGTTGCAGTTGTTCATGGGCGGCGGTAGTCATTTACCATCAGGTGAGCCGCATGCTCGTTTGCCCCCTCTTCTATAAAAAAAGCATCATCTTTATGATAAAAACTCAAAATTAAAAAGAATGCGGTTGCCAACCCACCTGCCGGGCATGGCAACTATGGCAAATCCCTTGTTCACCTGTGGACTATCATAGGCTGTAATGGATGATAATGGATATGCCATGCAGTGGTACATACAGAGGCATTACATTTCTCCCTTCTTCTTACTTTTCTTCGTTTTTTGTGTTGCATTGCCTTGATCTTGAACTGGTATGATGGTGTATGTTACCCTTGAGGACCGAGACGAATTGCTTAATTTTTTAATGAAAAGTGAGAACTTATTTCAAGTAAGCGGCATTCTAGTTTACCCCTATCTATAATAAGTGTATTTATGACCATATCAACTTCCTACCGAGCAAAAAAATTTAATAAATTGTAATTGTATGTTTAATATTTTGAAAACCTTAAGGCCTTCGTCTTTTAATCACATGTCCACAATTTTTTTTTTTACAAAACTGAAGTGGCAAATGAACACAGAGTCCACCTTATGGTTGGTAGCTTCTTATAGAATAAGGGTGACAAACGAACACACAGTCCACCGGATGATAAGTGAATAACGTCCTCGGTTAAGAATCAAAATGCAGATGTGTTTTCCCACCTGAGGAGTAGGATGGAATGCTTCGTTTCCAGTAAAAAGGGTCTCCGGGACTCTAGACTGATCATACTAATAAAGATTGATAATTTTGTGTTAAATTAAGGAAATAATACAAATGTAAATTTTCATAGAAACCACTTTATTGTATTTTGAAACTAATGGAGAACGTTTCTAACGTTTAATTCACATTGGTTAAATTTCGCATTCATTTAAATTTTTTAAAAGCAAAACCATTTTACATTTTAAAGGGCACCCGTACACTCCAGTTTTTTATTTAATTTACACTCGCTAAAATTCGCATAAAAATAAAAAAAAACACACACACACAACCCACCATTTTCCAATTTTGAAAGACATTACGTATACTTCAGTTTTACCACTATAATTATTAAATAGTGAGAAGAAAAGTGAGAAGATGCACTAAGCTCTTCAAGTCATAAGTCATCATTAAGGTTTTAACTCCTAGGTATAAAAACTACGTATATATTTTCCGCGGGAGTGAGAAACAATCCTTTCTTCTCATATTCAATTTCAGAAGGCAATGGCGTATTCGGCGCTGGTAGAATCTCGTAATTGAAACAAATGGTAGATAGGGCCGAAATGAAATTTTGAACGGCAAACGTACGTCCTGGAAATGATAAAAAAAAACTAAGTTATTTGTTCCTTTATAAGCGCCAAGGGGGGTTAAGATAGAATAACTCTTTTACAGTAAAAAGGGTCTCCGGTTCTCTACACTCACCATACGAAACACAGCAGCATTAAGCTGCTATTTTACGCTGATATTCTGTGAGAGCGTGGTCCTTCCCCGGTCGAGCGGACCAATTCGTGCTACAACTATACTATTAATATAGCTGCAGCATGGCTCTACCACGTTTTCCTAGTGTTCTTAGTTTCTTTCCTTTTATTCCCTTTTACGACATCCACGGATGGAATAGTGGATATGCCGACACCGCCCTAAAAGGTCAAGTACAATACGGATACATAACATATATTAATCTATATTTCTTCTATACGTTTACTTTACTGTTTGTCTTATATAATAACTTCAGTTATAAGTAGAACACTCTATTGGATTACTCTACTCTGCCGCATTTATTCGTGCATTAGAAGTTTTAAAAAAGTAAATGCACTTAACAAATGAAACGTACCTATACAATTTCTTGGACCTTCGCCAAATGGCATGTAAGTGAAAGGTTTTAAATGATTTTCATTTTCGGGTAGAAATCTGTCTGGGTCGAACTTTTTCGGATCCGGGAAATAATTTGCATCGTAATGCATCCCTGTTGTATTGACGTATACCGGCGTGCCCGCTGTGATGGTGAGGTTTTCGTCGATTTTGTAATCCTTCGTTGCGACTCTATCCAACCATCCTATAGGTGTGTATTTTCTGAGGGTCTCTAAATTGGAAAAATTAAAAAGTCACGCACATTCAAAATTGATCTTTAGTTGGTCTTCAGACTTCAGAAAATATAAATTATGTGAATATTGTTTCATTGTTTGTAGTTCTTTCCAACTGTGTCTTTGCAAACGGATACATAGTCTCATGGTAAATAAGTAATCATCTGATGGTAAGTGGATGCTGTCATCCATAGGTATCTACGTCTATCCTGGATTATGAATTAAAATGCAGAGGCGTTGTCACCCTTGAAATGCCTCGTTTCCATTAAACACACTCTCCGGTTCTCTACACTCACCATACGAAACACAGTAGTTATAAGCTGTTTTTTCACGTTGGTATTCTGTGAGAACGTGGTCCTTCTCCGGTCAAACTGATCGATTCCCGCTATGCTTGTAAAAATATCAACTGCCCCATATCATCCCTTGGATATCGTATGAGGCGACAGAGAAAACCTGAACCAGGAGATGGGCAGCAAAATCTTTCTGATAACAGCTGAATAAAAAAAGCTACGGTTCTTTTCTTAAACGGCCTCTTAATCTTGGCAACTATGAGAAACTATATATAAAGTTATCTAAATGGGTGGCCTATTCAGCAGTGGACTTTCATAGGATGTATTGGATGGATGGACATGCAAGATGTGGATGTATGCAGGTTGCTCAAGACCGTGCTCTCTGGCATTAATTGGGGGAACATTAATTGTTTAAACAGTGGATTTTTAATGGGCTGTAGTGATGAAATAAAGAATAAATTACACAAGAATATACAACCAGGCCAAAGATATTTATTTAATAGTCATAATTTTTCCATAAAATCCATAACCCTTTGTGATGGAATCTAATTCTAATTAGAAATGAGTTATCGTTGTAAAGTATTACTAACGTTGTTAACGGAATCCTCCTGATCATTTATAGTAAGGCGATATCTAGGAGCTGCTGGAAACTATGCTGCTTCTTAAACTAGGTGCTTAGTAATAGCTGGCAACAACACTAACCTTTCATTAGACAGTGTATGTATATCAGACCATGAAGGGCAACGGAGTCCAGCTCTTTATTTCCATTTTTCTCTTTGGCTTCCTTCAGCTCATCGTACAGCTTTTTCTACAAAATTACAAAGTAGCGGAAATTAAAGTAAGTTTACTTTTTACTTTCTTCTTCTCCTTCTTCATTATTCCTCAAAAGTCCACTGCTGGACATGGACTTTCTCCGATACAGGGAGGATTTTCTGGATTGACGATCTTAATACGAGGCGTCCTCATTTAACTCTGCTGAGTGACTCCGGTCTGGGTATGCCTTGTAAACAGGGTTAGTTATCTTGCGTCAGATAGAACTCCCCCCCTCCTTCCAACAGGTTACTGCCTTGTTACGGCGAGAGGGCTAAGTAGCTGTAGCTTAATCACTCACGGTGAACTAAGAGGAACCCACACGGCTGGCCCGAGGGCTTTCCCAAGCACTGGGCCGAGGTTGCTTCTCCGAGTTGCCATGGCAAGCCCACTTTGGATATGGGTGTGGCGTTTTTTTTAAACTTATTATAAGCCAGTGCTTGACCACAATCTCACCTGATGGTAAGTCGTAATGAAGCCCTAGATGGTAAATCGTACTGTCCTAGCGGAACGAAAGACTATTCACTCTTATCTTAAAGTTGCCCAGATTGTATTCATATAGAAAGAGACGCCGGCATATTATTCCACTCCTTTTATTTCCTTCTATTCTTTCCACGCATTACGAAAGATGAAGCAAATCGTTTAGCTCTAATACGTGGATTATCGTCAACAATGAGGACGCCGTCCGCCTGGTTTTCTGATGGTGGAAAGGAGAGGAAAGAATTAAAGCATGTAATTCTTGGGTACACTCTCCGAAATCCTATAGAACACTCTCGCAGAAATGAAAGGAGTATTGTGCCCAACAATGGGACCTGTAACTGTACTACTTTTTACAAAAAACTAATTCCACTTATCAAAACGTACCTGTAGGTGAGGCTGATGTGCCAGTTCGTAAACGCAATACGTCAAAATCGATGACGTCGTGTCGAAACCTCCTTGTAGGAATACGGCTGCTTGTGCGATTAATGTGTCATCGGAGATGTCTTGAATATATAATATTATATTCAGTAATTATAGCGAGACAATAACAATAAAGTGTAGTGTGTGGTGTAAGAATATCCACTACCCCATATCATCCCGTGGGTGTCATTACATGCGATAGAAAGGAACATATCAGGAGATGTGCTGCAGCGTCTTCCTAATAACGACTAAAAGCAAAAATCTGCGGTTGCCAACCCGTTTGTCAAGCGTGGCAACTGTTGCAAATATTCCCCTATAAGACAATCTATGAGGGAGGCTCATGATGGAGGATGCTCAGCAGTGGACTTTTATAGACTGTAACGGTATACAATAACAAGTCAATATAATGTATTATGGAATAGACTAACGACCCGCCTTGGCTCTGAATAGGTAGGATCTGTAAATGTGGCGTGATTTAGATTATAGAAAAATAAAGACCATCTATTTTATTAAATTTTGTTTTGTTTTTCAAGATTGATGTCAATTTTTGAACATAATATCAGAAATAAAACAGAAATTCCCACTTCTGTTCTCGGAAATACCTTCATCAGGGAAGGTTAATTGTTAACAAGTGGTAAATTTAAAAATTTTGTACAACCCATTTCAATATAAACTAGCTAAAAGTAAAACTTTGTATTGGCTCGCGAATTCTTATAAGTAACATTTAAAAAAGAATTGTTTTACAAAAAATATATTATTGACTTTGGCCAGACTAGATCTGAATAAGTTGGTCCAAAACAATGTCGGAACCTGTGAGGTTATCCGACATTTTTTCATCAAGTTATGCTCCATTCATAATTTATAATCAGCGCCATCTAACGTGATACTACAACAAATTATTCTTTTACTTTTCTTACAGATGGCGTTAGTAACACAATAAAAATCTAATTAATGAAAATTTTTGTTACGGCCCGCAGCTGCCCCTGCAAAGGTTCAATATCCCGGGGCCCATGAGCGGAAGATTCAACGGGCAGCCGCTGGTTCGAGCTCGGATGGCTATGTGGAAGAATGTTTTTTAATGGGGAGGCTAGTCAAATAAAGAGTACTTACCTGTATCTGAGGCGACGACTGTCTCAAGGTTCGGTCAGGACGGAGGTGTGTATGTGCAAGTGTGGTGGTGTTTTTTGTGGTGTGGATGTGATTGACCTGACTAGACCGTTGAAGTCGGCAGCTGTCCGGACTCCGGCACCGCTCCAAATTATGGTAATCTCCAGCGACGTCACCCACGGTCAATTTCTTTCTTCTTCACTATTTATTTATTTTATTTATTTATTTAATCTTTTTTGTTTACACATTAATAAAAAGGGTAACAAAGGGCGGACTTAATGCCTAGCGGCATTCTCTGCCAGTCAACCCGTGGAGTGATGAGATTTTGTGGCAGGTGCAAATACACACATATATACATATATACATACATACACACACATACATATATATACATATATACATACATACACACACATACATATATATACATATATACATACATATACACATACACACATACATACATACATACTAAGATATGCGTATAATATACAAAAACTTTACATATGTAAATATATGAACAAAATATGTATCATACATAGATATAATATATACGTTACATATAATAATAAAATACATATATTGAAATTACAAATAATAAAACATCTAAATGTGTCAAAATTATCATCACCATTCTTAACATCGAACATCACTTCGACTCAAAAAAAAGTCGCGTACCAACTTTTTAAAACAATCCTTACTTGGCGCTCTTCTTATGTTTTCGGGCAAGGAGTTCCAGAGTAGTGTTGCCTGAATAGTAAAAGAATTGTTGGTGAATCCAGTGAAATGAGATGGAATACTGAGCTTATGATTAGATGAGGAGCGAAGAACCTTATCATGAGTTGAAAAGAGATATAGGAATTTGTCCTTCAGATATGTTGGAGAAGTTGGATTATTCAAAATTGAGAAAAGAACAAGCAAAATTCTTAAGTTTCGTCTTTGTTGGATAGTGAGCCATTTAAGGCGTTCACGATAATGAGAGATATGATCATATTTTCGAAGACCAAATATATATCTAATACAGCTATTGAGAAGACGTTCTAGCTTATTAAGAAGATTTTGGTTCACATCTGGGTAGCACACATCTGCATAATCAATAATGGGTATTATAAGTGTTTGCGCAAGTGTTAGCTTAGTCTTGATTGGAAGAAAGTTCTTCAGACGATAAAGGGATCGTAAAGTGGCAAAGACTTTGCTGCTAATTTCAGTGACATGCGTACACCAGTTCATTGTGTTATCCATATACAGGCCAAGATTTTTTACAGAGGAAGAGAATGGTATCAGTATATTGTTGTAATAGACAGCAGGTAGGCTTGTCACATGACAACATTTTCGAGCTACCTATGATTATAGCTTGACACTTCGTTGGATTAACTGATATTCCATAACGCCTAGACCATTCTTTAATAGCTTCCAAGTTCAGATTTAACATTCTAATAGCATCATGGAGCTCTTCGATAGATGATCGCAAGTAAATTTGGAGGTCGTCAGCATACAGATGGTACGAACAGTTAAGAATAGATGTGATCGAGTTTATAAAAACTGAGAAAATTAATGGAGAAAGTATACCGCCTTGCGGGACGCCAGCATCAAGACTAGCCCACTTGGAACTCTTCTGTCCCATATGGACAGACTGCTGACGCCCGCGAAGATATGAAGAGAACCAATCCAAGACTGAGGGTGCAAATCTTAAATAGGACAGGATAGATAAAAGGACATCATGGTCCACTGCGTTAAAAGCATTAGAAAAGTCAACAAGCACCATTACAGTCAATTTTTTCTTTTCCATACCTTGTCTGATGTCTTCCGTAACTTTGAGTAATGCTGTAGTGGTGCTGTGACCGAGATGAAACCCAGACTGATAATCGCTGAGTAGATTATGATTAAGTACAAAATTGGAGACTTGCTTATGTACGCAGCCTTCCAGAACTTTGGATAGAAAGGGCAAAATAGATATCGGACGAAGGTGATTAGGTAATGTGGGATTCGTTATTTTGGGAATAGGGCGTATGAAAGCCTTTTTCCAGAGATTTGGGTACTGACCTGAGTCCAGCGAAAAGTTTATAATGAGAGTAAGTGCAGGTAGTACATACTCCAGTATATTGACTATCATAGTTCTGCTAATTTCATCACAACCTACAGCCTTGGATTTAATTGATAGAACAATTTTTTTAAGGCCATCCTGATGAACTGGAGAAAATTGAAAAGAAGGAATTTGAGGAGATTGGATAGAAGCTAAATAAGCTATCGTTTGAGATCGTACAGTAGTGTCCATAACAGGAGCAGAAGCAAAATGGTGATTAATGTCATCACAAGACAGATAAGAGGCGCACTCCAGAGTAGGCTCCATCTCACCCACGCCAATTGACCTGAGAAACTTCCAGACATTAGCTGGCGAAGGATTAATTATATTATTATGGATATAACGGCGTTTGGCGTTACGCACCATCTGATTGTATCTGTTCCTAGCTTTCTTAAAACATGTCCAATTCTCTTCCGTACGCTCTCTTTTGAAACGCTGAAAAGCCCTATTCCGCCTTGTCATCGCCATCCGAACTCCCTCAGTTATCCAAGGAGAAGGTTGATGTTTAAGTCTAACTTTACGTACAGGGGCATGGGCGGTATATAGGCTAATTATTTTATTATTAAAGATGGATAACATATCATCAACAGTGGTTGATAATTTTAATAGATCAAAATTTAAATTAGAAGCGTCACTTCTTAGTTTATCCAAATTAATTTTAGAAAAGTTGCGCAAGTGAATAAAAGTAGGCAATGATTTAGGAGATTTTAGCTTGTATGCAACATAAATGAGGTCGTGACGCGAGAATCCTGGAGCGGAACACTGACCATGTGATATCACATGATCAGGAGAAGCTGTAATAACAAGGTCAATCAAAGAGTCATTGGAGTCGAAATTATGATGAGTTGCCCCTGAAGGTAGAATGTGAAGATTGACTGACTCAATGATTTTACGAAGTTTTTGGGAACGGTTAGAATTTATCAAGAGGTTAGTGTTAAAATCACCCATGATTATGCAGTGTGCACACTCAGAGACAATTTTTCGAGAGCCGTTTCTAAAGTGGCGAAATAGTCAATGGAAGGAGGACAATACACTACTCCAAGAATCACCTTTACGCCTCTGACGATGACGATCTCCACTATGTCAGTCTATTAACTTTAGCGTACAATTAACTAACTTCAAGACTCAATTAACTCCCGTTTATTATAAAGCGTAACACGCAGTACGACTCGTAGGTCAAAGTTCACCTTCACTCACTCCGCAACAAATTGTTTCGAAAACCTAACACGGCCTTCTCTAGTGTCACAAAGTTCAGCGTTCAACCGACCACGGAAATGTCTCCGAACTATATCAAATACCGCACGAGCAAATTAATATTGTCAAATGCACTTAGATACGCTATCAAATTAGAATAACCGAATTCGCGGTAAATTAGGCACGCACCACACACAAATTCAGACGTTGATCGCAATCAATGTTAACTTCCTAACAATTTGTCAACCCGGCGTCTAATTCTAGACTACAATTCCTTGTCGTTGCACAATTTGTTAACAATACCGACTCTAAAAAATGGAGGTTATCCCGAGCGACTTCACGACGTGCGATCGACAGCACTGCATTCAAGCAACTAACTTCCGCGCTCGCGCCCTCTGCCAAAGCCACTCCGCTCGCCCGAACGTCAAAACCGGTATGGCACCGAACCGAGCGCCCTCCGGTGTCAAATCTTGCAACCAGCATTTGGGCGTGAACAGGGAGAATGCTAGGAAAATAAAGTACGTACCTGTTTCCGACTCTAAGATCGCCCCAAGGCTCGGTCAGGCCGTAAGTGGGTGTAAGGCGCATGGCAAGTAGTGTTTAGTGATGTGTATGTGTCTAAGACCTGGACCAACTGCGGTGACCGGCAGCGGCCGATTTACAGGCTGCCCCACAATGTTGCATCATTCCAGCAGTCTT